AAGGGCATTCCTGTATCATCAGGCCCTCGAGCCTAGAAGAACAAGTACTGGGGACAAAAAGAAGTAATGGGAGGAGATAGTTAACAATGCTAAAGAGCGCTCATATGCAGCGCCAGAGACACAGGATTTTGATGTTTAGTGTATATACACTCAGAGACTAAATACTTTACTCTTAAATAGTTTGTGAATGTAAATTGGAAGCCCTAATTTTCAACACTGACATGGCATTACATAAGTCAGGCACTACTGGCTAGGCAAATGACTACAGCGATGCAATCTGACTATCTGTACCAAGAATGGGTAATTTCCAAAACTCTATGTACAAAATTCTCACTATTTCCACTGCATTACGGATTGGGTTTTAGCACAGACATCTAACTGCTCGGAGTAGGTTGGGCAAAACAATATTTGCCCCCAGATCTGATCCACAATCCATTCTTGTTAATGTATTCCACATTTCTATTCCTGAAGCAAACACTAGTTCTTGGCATTGATACATCACAGGAATACCTACCAATATGCAGGGCAATGGAGAGACCAATGGCAGACCACAGAGAGTAGCGGCCACCAACCCACTGAAAAACAAGATATTGGTTTAGACAGGAGAAGTGCAAGTCTTTCAAATTCAAACCTATTCAAACTATTAGGAAATAGCAGCATGTGTTTAGATTATTTTCCACATTATATGGCATGGTCAAGGGAACCTGCATCTTATGGTAGCTCCCTAATAAATCCGTAAGTACGCATTTTTTGAGACTTCAATCTATCCTTCTTGTCCAATTTATATAAAATCTGTTGAAGCAGATCCCTTGATTCCAATTCATTTCCAAATAGCAAATTTGCATTAGCTGCTACTATTAGCTGTTACTAGGAAAGCATTAGCTGCTTTCCTAGTAACACTACTCTATAGTTAAAGCCTGCTTCAGCAACACTATAACACTATCTAGGGAAAGTTAACACTAGATAATTTCTAGACAGCAGCTTTAAAATCTCAGGCACAGTCAAGGAGACAAACTAACCTGTCTCTCATTAAGTATAAGGGCCAAGATTAAGGGCAGTACACTTAAAAATCTGCATCTGCTACAAAATATCAAATTAGGCTCCCATTTCTGATGTTTGACCTTTACAGGCCTAGATTATATACAGCAGACCCCAACAGTCAAATGTCACAGCTTATAATAACTACTTACACAGAGAAATAAGCTAAGACTTGTATCTCCTGTTACCCAACAGCTGATTAGACAGCCAAGAATACAGAAGGCTCCTGTTCAGACCTTTGATTGCAGGATTTCAATGGAATGGCCAAGAGACAAGACCTTTTGCCTGACATGTTCTCAGTTTGCCTTTAGTTACAAGTTTTCACATATTCTAGTACAGAGAATACAACCACTATAATTTAGGTGTTTTGGTAGTTCCCTGACATCTCGTTAGGATTTTTGAAGCAGGTTAGATCATTCTAACTGTTAACACCTACCACACATTAGACATTTACTTACATCCCAAAACTCAAACATGTTTTCTGTGTCAATTCCAAAATCTTTAACTTTAGGCTAGAATAAAAAAAAAGCATGTAAGAACACTAAGTAAACCCAGCATTCTTAAAAAGTTTTATGTCTAGCAAATAAAAACCACAAATTGGGTACCTATTAAATACACAATTCCCTAAAAACATCCTCTATTTTAAAAATGCATAGCATTCATGAGAAAAGACTGTATCTTCATTTCCAGATATCACTATCACTACTCAGTCATCTCAAATAATGGCATACACTCATTTTCTGATCAATTTAAGTGGCAACACAGAAGTTAGAGACTGACATTCAGTTTACATTCAACAGAACCAGAATGGTAGAAAGGAACTTCCTATCACAGTACCTGACAGCCTCTCAATTACTGCAAAGTCCTTTTCAATTGCTATTGGTCTTTCTACTTCGTAATTTTGCACGAAATACCACATCAACATCCATTATGCTCATCACATGCTACAGATTACTCACACACTTGAAGATTCTAGGAAAGTAGTATTTGTTCACATAACCGCATTCACAAATACTTAAGCAATTACAGGCAGCAGTCATTAATGACAGGATAGGAATTTCAAGTATGAGATAACTTGATTTCAGATTTAAAGCTGGAGCAGAAAAAGCACAAATCTATAATAAAGGTCCAGTCTGCTACAGTTCATTACTTTAGGAGTGTTTCAGTTATTTTTAAGAGGAAAAAAAAAGCTTCCTTTCAGTAAGGTGGCTAACTACTGGTATTCAAAAAATGGTGCCTTAAAAAGACAGGCTTCCTTACTGGATTTTCAAATGAGGCTATCTTAAAGGTACATAGGAAAATATAAAATAGATTTATTATACTTACACCATTGGTAGACAAGGCAACAAAATGCTTGGCCACAGCTGAAGGCTTAATAAAAATAAACAGATTGTTAGATCTAGAATGCTAATTATTTTGATAAAGTCAAAGCTGATCAGCTACCATTTACATTTAAACAAAATACTGTTGCTTATCATCAATTATTTTTTGCATGATCTACCTAAAATCATGTTATGCATATTCAGTGTGGGATTTGGCAGCAGGCCTGCCTGAAGATAACATTCTGATAATATTCTCATGAAGCCCTCTGGAAGCAGTCACTACTTAGGGCAGCACACTATTTCCTTAAGAGCACGTTAACAGTTTGGAACATCACCAGAACCACTTTGGAGCAGATGGAGTATGTTGTACGTGTGCTACCCTTCCAGCTAGGGTCAAAAGATCAAGACAACTGGAATTACTGATACATCTCCAAGCTCCAGATTTAGACTTCAGTCTTTCAGTAAGTGTTCTGGTGAATGGAGATGAGCTGTCCGCAACAGCAGTGTAACAAGGAATTCCAAAGCCCAGCTTTCAAACTAAGTACAGCTACCCGCACTGGAACAGGTTAACAAACCTCAATTACCCGAGCAGGCAATATCTGTTTTGCTCTTTTAAAGGTTAGAAATAGGAGAGAATGAGCCAAATACAAGCTTTCTATTTATAGCACAGCCATCTGCTATAGAAATGTCAGTATATCACTCCAGCCATAGTTTCTTTTCTAGTTTTTAAATATTTGCCAATAATTGGAAGGTAACGCCACACAGACATCATATTCATGTATTTCTGTATCAGTGGTTCCATCAAAATATTAGCCAGCTCTAAAGCAAATGCTAGTCTATTACTTAATGGGCAGGATTTGGGGGAATAATGCATGACAACCATTTATAATGAAAAAGCAGTGGTTTTATCACTTTGATTGGACGTAACAGCCTGTCACTAACCATGAAGCACTGAAATGTTATAGAGACAGCATTTGCTGAGCTACACAGCTTGTGTGGGAAGTGACTGGCTCCGCTCCAAAGCACACAGAATGACCAGGGAGAAACTGCACAACGAAAAGCTGTTGCATTCTGTTACATAACCTAGCATGCCAGACTTACATCATTAGCAGCACGTAAGAACCACTCTTTGGCCGTTTCTGCATTGGTGATAGTTTCTTGGGTGGTGAAAGTCTGCACATCAGAAAACGAGTATGTAAAACACTGTGCTTAAAATTGAAACAAGTTCAGGCTGCTAAAACATATGTTCCAGATAATCAGAGCAGCGTGATTCTAGATGTTCTTAACAGACAGCTACTGCCAGATCTCAGCAAAAAGGCAAGCTTACCAGTCCAGTAAAGACTAGAGTTGCCAGGTTTACATATGCTAGTTTAAAACTAGATAGATCTGGAACTGAAATTCCCCATTTCCTACCCTCCCTCCCACAAACTGTTAAAAAACCTTGAGACTAAAATTTTCTTCTTTAGTCTTTCACTAAATATGAAGTTTTACTATTTAACTAAAAAGGAACTAATTGAGCATCAACACAGGACAACCTAGCTGGACTGTCCTCTTGTTCTTCAATTTCTGCTTTTTCATGTAGCAGTGCTCATTTCTGCTAAGACTCTTGCCATAATTTTATTATGCTGATTAGAGGAAAACATTTTCCTGCTTCATGAAGTGTGTGCCGAAGTTCAGTCATGCAGCTTTGCAAGTATCTACAACCATTCTGATTTACTCAACCATCAAAATTTAGCTTTAAGGGTGAACACTAGATTCAACCTACTCTCATCCATCTCCAGAAATATTTCATTATGAAACATAAGCCTGTTAAGGAAAACAAAAAAAATGCCATTCATCCTCTTCCAAATATATCCAATTATCTAACTACAGTGTGGCAAACAGAAATGGAAGTGTTACTCTTTCAATTTGGCAGTCTTCTAAGCCTTTGAACCGTGTTCCTTGAACTCAATTATTTAAAGTGACTATTAGTATTACTTTGTGAAGCTTCCTTATTATTCCATAAGTTGTTGCTCGGCTGCAGTATTGCCAAGATAAGATAATGAGCACCATTGTAGAGCGCACATGTTCACTTGTCGCGGGTTGTCTTCAACTGCAGAAGTGTTCTACTGTGCTTTACAAATGAAGGCAACCCAAGTTACATAACTGTGATGTTTGTCTTCACCAGTTTCTTCTGCTAAGACAGACATTCCTCAAAGGAAGACAGCAGCTAGCAATCACGTTTACAGAGTAAGTTATTAGAAAGGTGAGACTTTAAAAAAGGCAGCTATTAACTCTGTATTCAGAAATATGTATCATCCTATAAACTACCAGCAGACTATCTTTACTCCTCTGGAATAAAGAATCTTAGTGCTCACAGTGCTCAAGTAGTTCAGCATTTAAGTTTAGGTGAAGATATTTTGTTACTACCCTAAAACAGAACAAAGATGCCCAAACAACATACAGTTCATTAATGCAAAACATTAAAGCAAAAAACCAGAACACTTAACGCATAAAACTGTATTCAAGATAAAGGACCAAAAGTAACCTTAAATAAAAGCAAGAAATGAGACAAGATCTTGAATTTCAGAGAAATAAACATATAGAATCCTACATCCCAGCCACAGAGACCTACAGTAAAATAAGCTTGTGTTGACTGAGAAATATACCCCAGACTGCATGAAATTGCTCATTTGTCTTACTTGTTTAGGTTAAGTAATTTCCATCACTTGACTTCTGGATCTGTAAGTATTTCAGTAGCAACACAAGCTTGTACTGCAAGTTTAAGATGAATCACAACAGACCTGTTTAGAAATAGTCCACCCTAGAAGTGCCTGATCTAGAGCTTCCTGTGGATAGATCTCTAGTCTGCTCGAATCCTTTACAGAGGAAAGTCACACTCCAGTGCTAGTATTAGCCATACCTTTGATGCAATGATGAAGAGCGTAGTGTCTGGTTTAAGCTCAGCCAGGGTTTTGGCTATATGAGTACCATCAATGTTGGATACAAACCAAACACGAGGGCCTCCCTTGGAATACGGTTTCAGGGCTTCAGTTACCATCAGAGGTCCCTGGAGAGAGCAACAATTAAGATTTTATCTTCATTGCAAGCACATACACACAAAGATATGGAAGATGCATACAAGTCAGAAGCTTACCAAGTCAGAGCCACCAATCCCAACATTGACCACATCAGTGATTGCCTTTCCAGTGTAGCCTTTCCATTCACCACTGCGGACTCTCTGTGGAAAAACGCAATTACTGTTTTATACTTATACTAAAGTTGATTCTAACACTGGAAATCGGCTGTGTCTTCAGGCATTGTTGTAGAAAGTCTCCAAAGGCAACTTTCAAGCTTCTAGACTTCAGAACCTCCAGTCAAAGCTACCTTCTTAGCTAGACATTTGGTTATGTCTAAGATGACACTTCATTAGGTGTTAGAAGCCTAATGGACATATTTAAAGACATACTGCAAGATCAAACTCTCCTTCTGCGTGGACTGCTATAGCACCAGAGTGTGGCAACAGCAAGAGAAACCAAGCTAAAGATGAAAAAATCTAGGGCATTAAACTATCTGCAACAAATATTTGAACCTGAAGGGTTCTTTAAGTGTCTTTAATTAGAAGCAACTTTCCCAACTGAACATTCAAAAAGCTCTTCTATTGCATATATATGTTTTGCATCAATATTTCTGGCTTTACCTCAAAACAGTGCATAATACAGATTTCTGCTTTATTCTTGCTATTTTAACTGTTACTGAAAGTTCTGACAAACAGAATTGCAGTCATTAGGTAATATCAAAATACTGCATTGAATTTTGTCTATCATGTGCCACCTATACATTAAATTTGATACAATCACAAAAGGAATCTTTCTAGTATCATGTACGGTTCTATACATACATTCTCCAATTCTAAAGCAATTTTTCTACACCAAATCATCTGGTTATGCTAATAGTTGCTCTTCTTCCCTACAGATGTTTAACTTAGAGCTTTTTGTTTTCCAAACAGAAAGTCTGTTTTCAGTATACACTATTCCTGTAGATGATGTGGCCATAGTTTTAAAATCCCATCTGCCTAAGTGAGTCAGGTGAAAGAATCATATTTGCTAATCTTTCCAAAGAACTGCTTAACATGATTTTTATTTTGTGGAGAAGATACATCTGTATGGAATGTGATATTCACAGGCTCTGATGATTGAAGCCATCTAGCAATAAGGAGTGTGGCACCAGTGAAAAACTCTTGTTTTACACTACCAAAATCTTCATCAGCTAAAAACTCTACAGTTGACCACTGAATTTCTGTGGCCATTAATTTCTTACATTATCTGAAGTAACTACCAAATTTAGACCAATTAGTGTAATTTATTGTGGGTTTTGGCATTTATCCATTAGAAACTGGACAATCCAGGCTCATTTTGTATAGGTTAACAAGTATGAGTTGGCAGTGATGCTGGCCACTACCACCTGGGTGAGATTCACAATAGCAGCCAAGCAGGTCCAGATCCTCACAGTCACTACTTGAAGTGAACTAAAACTATGTGGTGAGCTTTTACTGCTTAGTTTTATCACACATAAGTCTGACTTGGTTAGAATGCTCTATGAAGTTCTTTAGAGCATTTCCTCAACTGATCTGACAGATGTCTACATTTTAGAGATGTACGGAATCAGATTAATTAATGATATTTGAAAATAATTGTTAACTGCTGTATTTATCTAGGGAAGAAAAGACTCCCATGCTGCTAAAGCTGCAAATGGAACAGAATCATAAAGGAATCTGACCTAAAACCAGAAGATCTTTAAGAAACTATTTAAGTAGAGCATAATCAAATTGCAAGTGAGCTGGGAGCTTCTACCTCTCTTCTGATTTTACAGAAATTTTACAGGGCAGTGAAAAATTAGCAAGAAGAAATAAAGTATATTTGAATGATACTTAATGTTTTACAAGACTTCTGAAGTAAACGCAAGATAACTGCTAAAAGAGCAAGATCTAAAGAGCCCATTAGAGAAAATCCCAACAGAGAGAAGTACGAATCGTACTAAAGCCAGCTCCAATTCCATGCTTCAGCCAAACTATTACAAACCTCAAACAAGGGCACAAAACCTCATGTGAAGCAGCCTGCAATCAATGCTTCACAACACATGTAAGAACCTCACTGGGTATAGAGCAAATATGTGAAAAATAAGCTATGGTGGTACTTTATACCTGGCAGAAGTGTTTCATTTTGTCCAACACTTTGTTTACTTCTGGAACAACATCCTTCCCATCTACAAGTATTGGCACATTGGAACGGTTTCTCAGAGCAATATGAAGCACAGCTCGGTTCTGAAACAAGGGAAAAAAACCTGATGAAGCTATTTCCAAAGTTAGACCCAGGAGCCTCAAGTGCATCGTCTAGAAGGTAGTACAGTCTTCAAGACTTAAAAATCCTTTAGATGAACTGGAATTAACGCAGCAGTAGTTGGTGTGTTCATGTATATACACACATCACCAGCTCTCTGCATCACCCTCTGACTTCACAGAATCAGTGCAGAAGGATTACAAAAGCATATAATACACAAAAATAAGTTATTGTTTACTTTGAAATGAAAACTCAAGATCCCCTGAAAAGCATTTAATGATTGAGGTTCAGAATTCAGCAATATTCAGCACTCGGTGATCTGAACTATTCTGGTATGCTTCAGATATACAAGGATGAAGTTGTTTCCTGTTAATGACAATACTGAAAATCAATTGTAACAAGCAAAGTTATTTTCTCTGGCATTTTCTCAATCATCCTGAGTAGTTCATTTCATATAGGAAAAGACAAATATATATCTAAACATTTGACAAAGAATAAACAGCCATATTATTCTGTCACTGCCCACAACTAAATGTTCCCCGAATACTTGCACACCAGATACGTAGGTGGTAACTGTGTTATAAAAAAAACCCCAAACTGTTAGCATGTACCATATTTTATTAATTCTCCAGTTATGCACAAGTGAAAGCACTGAAATCTGGCCGATGATTCACAAGTTCAGGGGCTTAACAGCTTTAATCCAGAATGGAGGTAGTCAATACTAATGAACAAATTAAAAAATTAGTCTGCTCTACCTCATTGTTCCTCACTACAGTGAGAGGCATTGTGAGACAAAGACAACACAGACAATATGAACTGCCAAGTTATGCTTTAAATACCAAATGCTAATCCAGAAATCAAGTTTGCAGCTACTGGCTTGGAATATGAAAAAGCTCTTTCAGTTGCTAATAATCAAAAGTCCACCCACTTAAATTTGGGGTGAACAGAGGCAATTTTTTTTGCAACACTCAGCCACGGAATGGCATTTGGTAAATACCGCTCATGGTCAGGTTTGAAGGAAGCTGTCTTGATCAAGAGAAGCAGTCAAATCTAACCTGATGCCTACTGTTAAACAGAAATATTTTCTAAATATTGGGTGGGCTATAAAGACTGTCCTCCTAAGGAGTGGTCAGATTATCAAGCTGCAAGTTTTAACTCATCTGGGACAAACACCTGGCAATGACATGCTTGGGTGCACTGTAAAGAATTTCCACATAAGCACACACCATGCAGCCAATGCCTGCAGAACCAAATACAGACAAGTCTTAAATACGTAATATAGAGCTGAAAAATGTTCTAAATCGGAACAAGAGTACCAGACAAGTCAGCTCTTGCCATTAAGCCACTTCCTTCTGACTTATTTGTTTAGGTTTATTCAGGCTTCAGAGAAGACTTCAGCTGCTACCTTTACTCTCATGTAGACAATGAGGTCTAGGATCACCTGGTCTAGGCAATCCTGCTCCAGCAGGGGGGTTGGACTGGATGATCTTTTCAACTCCTGAGATTCTGTGCTTCTGTGAAGAGTATGTCCATAGGATATGGTCAGAGGTGGGCTAACCCTGTTATTTGTGTTACATGAGGCTAGTGAGAGGCAGTATTCAGATTTAGTTCTCCAAGTCCTCCAAGCAGATTTAAGACTTACCACTGACTTCTCCCACTTCCTTTTCTCACTAGCTAGAATTACATCTGTGAATTGAAGGCGTTATTGCAGAAGGAAGAGGAACTGTTTCCCCGGTGAAGCTTTATCTGTTTGTCTTGTGCATTTTTACAGACATGTAGTATTCACAAACTATACAATGTCCAACTGCTGAGTTACTTTAAGCAAACAGCTTGTGCAACAGCTAAATTAGTCAACAACCAAGTTCAAGGAAATACTGATTTCTGTGAATTTACCTCAAGCATACTAAATAGCCTTCAATATTTATGGCAGACTAATAAATCATGCTATGTTGTTGAGTTTCCAGTTTTCATCCTGTTTTTAATTTCAGAAAGATACTGGTTTTCTGTATTTTTTTTAGTGAAAATTTGACCATAGTTACAACCTTCAGATCTACAAAAAGATGAAAATATTCATCCTCTTACTGAAACAGAAGGCTAATTTCCCAAGATTGATTATAGTCTCTACCGTTACCCAAAGACAAGTAGCACCAACAACCCAAAGCAGAAAATCTTACACAATCCTCACTAAAACTTTGTAGGCAGTTATCTAAGCTTTACGAACACTGACATTATGCAAGCGACACCTGGACAGTGTAAGTAATGCTCTGCTCCATGCCCTGTGCAAGATCTAACTCATCTTCCTCTCTATATATAATATACCATCAAAATGTCTAAAAAAAAAATTAAGATGTGTGTTGAAGGGAGGATTAAATAGCTTTATCCACACACACTTTCTTTTGTATTTCTGTGAGAACTGTAAAAAAAAAATCTCATGTAAGTAGTAAAGCAAACATTACAACCAGTCAGCATTTCAGAGTAGCAATTAGAGTAAGTTTTTTTTCAAGACTTGTTGCACAGATGCCTGAACATCCATAATATATAGGCACAACTGAGGTGAAAAGAATCATGGACAGAAATAGCCTTACCTCAGTGAAGTTGATCTTCTCTCCACTGAACATGCGCTCTCTGGCACTTTCCACACCCCTTGACTTTGCCTGAGAAATGTAAAAATAGATTCCTCTTAAATAGTAAGAAGTCAACATACACTACAAAGGTCCAGCTACATTAAAGAGTGTGGACATTCATTACATAAGACAGTGAAACTAAAATTATTACATTATGTTAAAACACCTACTAGATACTACCTTACATTGATTCACCTATTTTAAAGCAAGTATTTTTACGCAAGTTGTTTCCTTCCTTAAGAAGTTACACAGTAACATGTGCTGAATGACCAAGATGTACTGAATTCTTCTTAATTACTCGTGTTTCATCTTGTCATACTACTACAGGATTCATTAATGTGTACAAGCTTAGAATTTATTTTTTTTCATTTAACTGAAGTGTAGCAGAACTAATTTTGCTATGGCCATTTTTTTGTAGTTCTTCCCTCTTTAAAACTTTGTGTCCTATCCAGTCTAAACATTTGGCTGAACTAATAGTTAAGGAAAGGTTGTAAGTGTGAACACCACGCTCAATTGAAGTTAACAACAGAAACTTCTTAAAATACATCCTACTGCAAGTGAATATCACTGCATGATATATGAAGTATTGTTTCAATTGCAGGTATGGAAGACATCACTCCTTAAAGCTTTGAATCTCATTTTACTGCAGACCTCAACAACAGTGCCATATGCCAGCTGGTCTGTTACACAGACCAAACCTCATCACTGAGCACAAGAAACAGAGCTGCACATTGAAAAATGGCAAGACTCTGAACTGTGCCAAGATTTGTAAACAGATGCCTTTTATTTTTTGTGGTCTCAAATTCAGAGCTAGATACATATAAGCAATGCTAGAATAGACAGTTGCAGGTAAAAGTTAACTCTTTTTAAAAACCTACTTGGTTCATTAATTCAACATTTTAAAGAGTTACCAGTTCCATCAGCATTTTCATCACTTCTTCTGTAACAAGGTTCTTTGAGTAATCCAGTAAGATATCCCCATGATCAGTATTCACAGTCAAGCTGTCAAAACAAACAGGTTGTTTAATTGCACATTCCTGAAAAGTGACCGTTTTAAGGAGGATGATGAGAACTTCTCTACAGATTACAAAATAATTGGTACTCTAATTATATTAAGTTAGTAAAGATGACCTGAGGGGCTGATTTCCCCCAGAAGTTCCATAAAATGACTTAGTACGTTTTAAATGGAGACCATGGTTTTCAACAAGCTACATTATAGTGTCTACTTTCTGCTTGTGAAAGTCCAAATCCAATGAAGTATATTTAATGCACAGTTGGCCAATAACATGCTGTTTCACCAAGGCACTAGCATTCTCTAGCAATAATTAGCTTTTTCCTAATATATCATAGGTAAAAAACTTACCACATTCTTTTGCTACTAAAAAATTAAACCACCTTCCTACAGGTCCTTTCAACAAATAAAGTCATTCTTTCATACACAGGCTTGAAGAAGCCTGATTTCAAAAACTAAACCTCATGTACAGAAACATTCTGTCAGCTATACAGAATTAAACCCCATTTATGCATGATGTTGTCTTGCTATCCTCACTGAGTCAGTGGAAGTCTCCAAATTATTTAACTAACCCTCATCTGAAAGCTATAGCCTAACTTCAAAATAGCAGCACTCTTAGGTTTTGCACTTGAGATGAAGCACAGCAATGGTAGCCCAGCAGAAACCAAGTGAGTCCATTTGCATTTACTAGCCTTGCATCTTTGTGATAAGTTCTGTGGTCCCTCTCGTCCTTTACAGCAGTTTCTTCTTTGCACCAGTTTACAGCCGAATATACACATTTACTCTAAACTGAAGAATTAAGTCCTGTAAGTAATCCAGGAGGCCTTCTACAAAAGCACAGAAGGCCTTTTATACCTTCCTCACTTTCACTCCACATACACAAGCCACAGGAAATTGCATGCACCTAAATTCTCAATGTTTCTGCATTGTTCATTCTCTCCCCTGCTTTTTCTTTCCCAATACTTGAGCACAGAAGCATGTACTGTTATTTTAGTGACCATGTCTGCCAGGGACTTCACAGGGACAAACCATGGCATAATTGCTATTCCAAACAGATATAACAGGACAGAGCAGGCAAGATTCTGCAAAGCAAGAATGGAGCTGAACTTGCAATGACAGTAATAATCAGCAAGGCCTAGACACTTGGGTGGTTTCATTAACTTGAGGAAAAACACAGCAATGTGTCATTTTTCTAGTCTTAAAATACAAGAGACACTAAATAAGAGAAGGAAGTTGTCTTCAGTCTTAGAGTGTTTCTTTTATATGCAGGAACATGAGGCAAGTAAGGAAAAACAGTATCAATATTGTTAGTCACCCTTCTCTTCAGTGGGCTGCAAACAGTAATCCTGTTTTGGAGTGGTTCAAATCCTAATTTGAAGAACCTGCAGAAAGCTGGCATGCCAATATACTTCATGGGGAAAAAATCAAAAGAAATGGCTACCAGATCTAGCTTCCCACACACAAGAAGGAACATGCATGCAATGTAATCTCATCTTAAACCCTTACACTAAGGGATCCACCTTTTACTTAAACAGAAGTCCAAACCCCTGCAGCTCGGTTGTACTCTGCTACACGACCCACTCTGCAATGCAGCAGCTAACGGTAGTGCTACCCAGGTGGAACAAGAGACTTGTCACGTAAGCCACATCCACATTTAAGTGATGCAGCCCCTAATTGGGAGGTCCTCTGCAGCAACCCCTAGATGTATTATTACACATGGATTCCCTGGTGGTATGTCTGCCGTTAAGACTGGAGGCTCTTTCGGATGCTTTGTAGTAGACAAGCCAACTAGCAGGAGCAGAACACAGTGCTTTCTATCTGGCACTAAGTATTTGCATCAGGAGCACCTCAATCAGCATCCAGGTATCTATTATCTGCTGAGTTTTATGATGCCTGCATCATATCAGTTCTAACCCCTTCAAAACTAGTAGTTTTTCTAGTGAACAAGCCATGTTGCTCCTACTAGACCCTACATTTGGGGTGGAAAGGAAAGCCAAAGATATACCCGATGGGTTTGACTACACACCCAATCAGGAAAACAGGATATACACATTCTGAGGAAGAAAATAAGACAAAAGGAAGAAAGTATTTTCTATCCATATCCTGTAAGGCACAGTGAATGTAAGGTTCTTATAACATTAAAAAGATAATTATGCTCAGACCTAGAAATATTCAGATTAAAAATTATTTATAACAGTCTGAAATTTCTCCAGAACCAGTATCAGGAAGCACTTTTACATGAGTGCAGCTTTCTCTTTTCCTTCTAAAGGAAGCAAGAGTCAATGATTTTGTGTTAACACCTAGTAAAACTAACTGAAATTTACTCATAAAGCTTAATTTCCATGAGGAGAGAGGAGCAAACTACAAAGAGCACCTTGCAGCCAAACCTCCAGGCTGCTTAGGCTTTCAACAGAAGTTAGCTACCACCATCCTGCTGATCTGGCTCATGAAGTGGCAATCAGTGAGGAGTACACAAGCAGATCTGTCAAACTGACCCAGGCTGTCAGTTCTGCATTTCTATTTCACTGTGAGAAAGTTCTGGTACTCTAGAATGTGTTGATTTATTAGAAAACAAGACTGAAATAGTTTTTTAAAAGGATTAAGATACATCAAACTTGAAACACTTCAACTGTTTCCTACCCTTACAGGCAGCACAAAAGGACTTTTAAGTTGGACAGCTATTTGAAATCGATAACAAAAAACTGATAAATACAGTCTAGGAGACACACTGACTACTTTCAGCATGAAGAAAACATGTTAGAGATGAGTATGTGTGCCTGAAACAGTCGTCAAATATCTTCTCCTCGGTTAACTGGTTAGCACTCAAGTCTATTACGTATTCACAAAAGCAACTAAATACAAACAATCTGAGATTGAGAGAGTATATTTAACAGTTAATGCAGCTTGGATAATATTAAAGCAACACCCAATGAGATTAAGATGCAGTGCCACCCTCAATAGGAGTACTTGCTTAAGCCATTCAGGAACCTTATAAGAAACCTCTTGCTTATACCTTTTGATTTATTTAGCTAGTGTGCTTCAGCTTTCCTTCATTCCAAGGATGTTTACCAAATTCAGTCTCTGGGGATACAACGGAGATAAGAAAATCTTGCAATCAGAACTAGCACTATTAAAGAAGAGCTAGTAGATTTGTGTAAGATAATCTTAATAAAGTTCTTTAACAGTATAAAAAGTCCTGTTAGAAAAATGAGATTAATTTAATATCCCAAAATTTCAGCATTACTTTTCCAACAATGCAAATGTAATTTTAACTCAAAAGAAAAGAGAAGTCACTGTACCGAGGATGCTAACAAAAAGCTTGATACATGCAACAAGTCTTATCTCAATACTTGACAGAGAAGCTCACTGTGTCTGTATTACCTAGGCTCATTTTAAAACTCAAGTCGGGGATGCATATACACAGCATTAGACTTTTCAGACTGCTGGTCTAGACCCAACAATGTAACCACACACGACCCTGCAGCACAGTCTCCAGTGCACAGAAAACATCAGCCTCTTCTCACACGATGAAATCGCCAAACGTTTTATTATACTGTTTCCACATCTTGCTTCCTCCTCTAGCAGAAAAGATGTTGCAATGCATTTTCTGTAATGTGGAAAGCATGAGGCCAGGGAGGGCTAAACCTGTTAAACACCCCTCTACCCCAGCTCAGGGCAGGGGCAGGCACCGCCACACTACTGACAGGTCGAGGCACAGGGATGAATGGATGGATCTCGGGATCTTATCACGGAGCTTATCATGACTAAGCACACGACTGCGAGAAGCTGAGAAGTGAAGGACCCACAATGCCGCTGTGCAAGCCGCAGCCCGGCGCTGTGCTTCCCGGCACGTACCCTGCTGCAAGGATGAGTCAAGGACAAGCAGCACGGCCGCCCCGCTCGGGGGCTGCCGAGGAGCGCCCCCCACGCCCGGCATCTGCACCCTGCGGCGCGGCGAGGCTCCCTCCCGCTCGGCTGCCCACGCCGCGCTCCA